TCACCCGGCTTGGAATTGGAACCTTTTCTTGATTCCGTGGTCGGTGTCTGGTTTTTTTGGGACCTGAGAGATATGGCATGCAAGGTTGTGACTCGATTTTTGAGTTCAGTCTGCGTCTTGGCGTTATGTTTATTGGAATGGTACTAAACCTTCCTCGTTGAAGCTCAGCTTCGATAGGTCCTAGAAAGTCTACACATTTAGGAAAGGTATAACTAGATGACCGATTACATTTAGGAAATCGCAGAGAAAAACAAAGAGATCAAAAGAGTTCGCTACGAAATGCAGCAAAACGAGGATGTGTTCGATTTGTTGGAGAAAAAGTACGATGAGCAACATCAAAAGGTTATGGTAGGTGGATAGTGTAACCTTTAAGCAATTCTGACCATTTTCACTTCGAAATTCCTCCTTCATTATGAACGATCAACTCAATCAAGTATAAACAGTTATCAACTACGGTGATACGACGACGCCTGACTAGAAACCCCATTTTTCTTACAATTGAAAATATGCTTTTTACAAATGCATTTTTTTTTTGAGAGGATGAATGAATCATTGCGTGAGTACGAGCGGAAACTTGACCAAGTAGACATGGAAAAGGAAGAACTACAGAAGGATCTGAAAAAGGTAATCCTTTTTTCACTAGCTGAGGTGTTGAACCCTTCAATACTGCTTGAACCACGTTCTATAGCCATATTTTCAGCTACGCGATATGTTTGAAAAAGAAAAGCTACTCAGAGAGACGAAAGAAAAGGAATGTGAACGATTCGAGACGCAAGTAGCTGAGTTGAATGCCCGTTTAACAAAATTGATGGATGAGCTGGATCAAGCGAAAGAAAAGTTGCTAAGGTGTCGTCACCCCTGTCAGTACCACGGATTCAATCCTACTAGAATCCTTTTTACAGATCAGAATCTGAAATCGAAGAGGAGAAATCGCGGGCTCAACGACAAATGAATGCTGTCACTGAACTTCAGCAAACCATTTCTGATCTGAATGTAATATTTTCCACTTTCGAAAGCTTTTATAACAAAACCGTTGCGCTATGGATGCCATCCAGACGTGATCCGACACTTCGCCTCTCAAAGATCCACCACCTAACCCCTTTCTAGCAGGATTTGCCGTTCAAGGCTTCCCAACATCACACTCTTTTGTTGGCAGGGTCCGCTCCTTCGATGTATCGGCGCCATTCTTCTGATATACTGTGAACTTCAAAATGGGAAATTTTTCAATATTGGGGTTTCAAAATATTTTTTTTGAAAAATCGGTTAACCACGTAGATTTCAGACTCGACTGGCTAGTCATGATGCGGTGCTGTTAGAAGAGAGGAACCTTCGTCGTAAAATGGAACGAGATCATGATCGAACTAAAGAGGACTATTCACATATTCAGGCTTCATTAACAAAATGGCAACAGAAACATGACGTTTTGGTGAGTTGTAGTGCATACAATAGGCCAAAAAAGAATTAGGTGGCTTTGAAGTTCCAATTATGGGGTTGAAGGTGGGAGGATGTTGTAATTTCTTCCCGAAAGCGCGTCACGCGCTATGAAGGGGAAGGTTCGAATTCCCAGTGGAAGGATACGGTGACCGGGGTGGGAAAAGAGCCGAGATTTGCAAAGTATGTTCGATTTTATCGAATTAGCTACCCTCTAATAGCATTGTAACATACATAAGCATGAAGCTTTGTATACTTAAGCAATCAATTCTCCCAGATCTGACAAGATCTTTAGAATCGCTACCTTAGACTACTTTAGACCTGGTTTGATCTTTAGAATTCCCACTTTTCTGTAGTTTCCAAAGCAGTTACTAAAAAATTCTGTGCAGAAAGAAGAATGCCGCCGCAAAGACCAGGAAATCAGCCGTTTGGAAAAGAAGCTCGAAGACAAGGAGGTGGTTATGGCCGATTGTTTACGTGAGCTGAAGGAACAGCATAAGACCCGAGTCACCGAATTGGAAGAACGTGTTGCTGACATGAAGAGGAAAATTATGAAGTTGGTGATGTTTCCAGCATTGAATTAGGAGATAAAAGCGAAAACAATTATTCTCGATTTCTCCTTTGTTGAGTTATATCCATCCGTGATGAATGTGCTTTCACAGCTTACTCGTTTGGATTAATTTTTGGCGCTTGTAGGCAGATGTGTAGGCGTTCGCCGCGAGAGACAGTTTAGAAGGACCGCTATCGTGGCTCAGAGACCCATTTGAGTTATAGCCCTCATTAAATTGAATCTCCTGAAACTTCAGGCTGGAATCCGAGAACAACCTGCAGAAGGTGAAGCTGGAGACATCTATTGAACGCGAGTCATCGGTTGATTCAGATTACGGTCAGTGTGATTTGTTTTGTATGAACTTTGTGGTACAAGCTTTGCTCTCTAGAGAAATCCGTGTTCGTCACTCAAGGGGAAGGATTTGGGTCCCTACCTACAAAAAGACGCGATCTGAATCAGTCGTTGTGGGTAGTTGATCCAGACCGTGCTCTTTAAAGGATTTTCACTTTTTCTTGGTAATTTTCATGGTGACTATGGTTGGGTGGTGACCGACGTTGTTTTCTTACGTATCGTCTGACCATGGAATCTTAGTCATAGTACATGAGATCACTGTTGAAGCCTAAAGCTTCAGGCCATGCCAAAATCAGTTACCGGCTTCAATTGTGGTTTGTAGGCTCTGCAAAGTGGTCAATGGTTCCCTGACCATGACCCTCAAAAAGCTGTGATTGTTCGTAGGTGATTATCNTCTTATCAGTAGTAAAACTGAATCTGCATTCTGAAAATATGTACAGTTTGAAGTTACCATTAAATGGAGCATGTGATTGTGTAGTGGGCAAGTGGGCAAGTAAAATGAGAATTTAGCCTGGCGGTTCCATGTGAGCCTTCTTGTAAACTCTAAAGCCAGAATCTAAAATTTATTTCAAGGACGCAGTAGCTCGAGTCGCATATCCAGCCAATATGGCCGGCAATACTCCCTGATGTCGCTAACCTCCTTCACATCAGTGAGAACATTGAACCATCGAAGGATGACGGGAGATTCCGATATGAGCAGTTCATTGCATTCTCCGCGGTGAGTTTCCAAAGTTTTCTATTTCCTCTTACCAATACCACACTAACCCCTTCCTGACAAATGCCAGATCACTTCTTTTCAAAATTTTCTTTATCTTTTTTCCTTCCTTTGGTATTCTATATCGGCAATTTATAGTACGTATGGATAAATAGGTAAATATTAGGTCGTGAAGAAAGTTTTTGCGGTTTTTGACGCCCAATTTTCAAATGCTCGCCGCGATGTTATTTGCTATTAGATTTTTTGCAGGTTTTATACCATTTTGAAGCGCATTTCTTGCTCTATCCAAATATATAATCGGTTTTGCCCTGAGTGATGCCTGGGGTTTTTTAGAAGGTCGAAATCAGCATGGACAAACGACAGATCCGCATGATTTTTCTTTTCCAGTCCAAATTGGGCAGGAGTGCGACGGAAACGGACCGGGATATCAACGATGACTTAGATCTAGGTATGATGAAT